TCTCTCTCTCTCTCTCTCTCTCTCTCTCTCTCTCTCTCTCTCTCTCTCTCTTTCCTCGAGTCGTCTATGGCCGAATTCTGTGCCTCAACTATAATCATTTGATCATTACCGTCTGATGAATTTGGTCCATTCGTCCGGCTTATTCACTCGCGTTCTCAAACCGAAGTTGCTTGAACAATTCGTGATGTCACACGATGTCACACTTGCGCACTTGATTCCATGACGCTCTTTTCGCTTTCTCGTAATTCAATCCGATGGAATTATTCGATTGACCGTGGTCCATCGATGGGCATTGTGTGCAACACCTCATCCAGTAACTGAAGCGCTCTATGTAAATGCACCTGGAAAATAAAACAAAATTATTATTTCACGCTCATGAAATAAAACTATATAATGCTGAAATTACAAGTTTTCATAAAAAATTCCAATTGATATTTTTAATAATTTTAAATATAAAGAGAATTGCACAATGCCCCATATGAATGAACGAATATCATACCTCGATCCAGCATGGTGTTTCTTTGATGCTCTGTCGTGGGTAATCCGGACCCCATCCTTTCACAAAACTCAAACGCAGGATGCAAAGTCTTCGTAAGTCATCGACTCCAATACCCGCAGCTGCACTAAGACCTTTAATGCAATTTGAATTAATAATTGTTGTTTGTATTAGATATCACACACTACACACACACACACATGTGTGTGTGTGTATATATATTATATGCCATATATAGGTATCATATGCTCTATAATATATAAATATGTATAAATTTAATTCAAATATTTAGTTGCTGACAAGTATTACTGAAATCTGATACATTTGCCTCCACTAAATTTTCATATTAGCTCTTACTTTTGGTGATAGGTGTTCCGTGCGTGAGATGGCCCGCTACGGCTGCAGCTTGAGCCGCCGCAGCGGCTTGAGCTGTAGCTGCCTGACCACGTATCTGTTTGTGACACTGCCGCAGATCGAACACCTTGATATAAGCCGAAGGATAAATTTTATGAACAGCGTCACCAGGTGCTCGACCTGCCTCTCTGTCCAAATAATAAGACTGCACGAAAACACTGTGCTCGCTTTGGCATTTCAGCCAAACGTCTCCTTCACCTCTCAGGTCCAGCACAACGCCTTTCCCTGAAACAATATGCATGTCATAATTATCTATTCTCTACAAATTTATATCCTTTGTTTTAAGAGTAACGATTACCGATGTGAAGACGAGCTTTTTCGCTTTGCTCCGTTCTGTGTACATTGCTCAAGGCACCTAAGCAAAATCTGTTACCACCACTTGGATCTACATAACCATCTATGGTGACTGTGCGGCAACCACTGCTGACTTTAAACGTTTCGCCAACTTGAATGTCCAACTCAAAGTATCCAACAGAACACCAAAATTCTGGCGCTGGTTGTGTAGATAGTAATCCACCAACATTCTCGCTAACGTCATTCCCGTGACCTCCCCCTGTAAGTAAATTAAATTCCTTATGAAAAAAAGTAAAAATTGAGTTTGTTAAAATCAATCTAAGGTTTATCTTTCGAAGTGGGGACGTGAAATATAAAAACTTTCTTGTAAGAATATTTTAAAGAAAAAGTTAATCTCTATATTTTAATTAAATATCACGAGAACTTTTGGGATACTTATATACTTTAAAAACTTCACAGCAGTCTCTGTTGTATTATGCAAAATTTTCTTAGAAATACAAAATATCGATATGAACTCTCGGGATGTTTAATCAATATGCTTAACTTGAGGTAAATGAGAGCTAAACGTCGATAGAAAAGCAAATAAAAGATCTCAAATTTATTGTATGTGTTGTATAAGTTAGTTTGAATTTTTATAATCCCTTTAATTTTCTTAATTTTTCATGATTTTTTCATTGTTTTAAGGCAACATAAAATTTTTGGGAGTTATGATTGTTGCACCTATTACTTATGTAATTCTTTCCCCCCACACTGAAGAGGGTCCGAACATAGGACTGAAATGGTTGTTATTAATAATTAATAAATCCAGTTAAACTGCTTTAGCACTACTGTTATTCGCTTTTTCATCGGCGCTTAGTTTTCATTTGTCTCAAAGTTTTCTTGTTATGATTCAATGTGATAAACTCACAGTACGATGCTGTGTGAAGGTGTCGATGGTCCGGTGGTTGCATATTTTGCGTGTATGTGAGAGTATTAGCGCCGGTCCACTGCGGTGCTCCAGAATTATAGGGAGCAGTGCCCACGGGGAACCCATTGGCGTGATGGAGATGCACAGGTGACACAGGAGAACTCTGGCCTTCGCCTGTTCGAATAAAGAGAAATGAGCGATGAAACGAAATAAAGCGGATCGAAGTAATTCTGAGGAAGAGAATAGCTGACAGATTCGCATCCGAGTTTCTCCGTAGAAGTGTCTGTGTTTCAAAAGGATATAGTGGTTTTCGGGTCGGTTGGTGTCTAACCGGTGTGGTGCGCTACTGAACTGATTATATACCTAGAGAAGCAGCTAGCGCGTCGACTGTGGGGGATTGGTTGATATCCTGCGGTGGCGTCGTGGTTCCATAGAACGTGTCGGTCGATTGTCCTTGCGCGGGATTCATAATTTGTGCGCTGGACGTGCCGCTGGACGCGTTCAGCGACTGCTGTTGGCTACCTACGGTGTGACTCATTGGATGTACTACCGCTGCAAAATCAAAATTCATACACGGATGCAGGCAACAAAATTAAAGGCAGAAATGAAAGGCTCTCGTGTCACCGTCACGTGACTGATTGTTCCGAGACGCGCGTAGATCGCACGAACCAGTACTTCCCAAAGAGACTCCGAACGTTCGCCAATTGCAACTTGTGGATGCCGATGTTACATCGTTACTCGTTCCCGAAGCGCTTAGACTCTTAGATTACAACTTTGTCGTTTTAAACATACAGAGCATGTGCAAAGGCAATATAAAAAGCATATCGAAGACTATTTTAGCGTTCTAACACTTATGTAAAATTCTTTTTCTTATTAATTTCTTTTATTTCAATTCGCATAATCACTTTAATTAGCCTCCAAAGTGCCACTTTAATTAGATCCTCCGTTTGTCTCAGAACTTAAGGATGCTGCAAATGGCAATTCGGATTTCATCTGTGCAAAGCGCTAGAAGTAAAACTCAAGAAAGTCTGATTCAAGTCTATAGGGAGCCACGAAGAAGGCACACTGGCGACACAAAGAGCGCATACTAATCAGCGAGACAAAATCGGTAGCTCCTTAAATAAAATAAGGCTTGTGGTACATGAAATACGTACGATGGTGTAAATTACGGCCTGCCGAGTGATGAGGCGTGGGAATCCAGGTTTGCCTGGGGCAATTATTGTCGTCCAGTTTAGTGTGGGGATTACCATTATTGCCGCCCCCACCGGCGCTAAACATACCCTCAGTACTGGCTGTGCCGAACAATTAGAAGGAAAAGAAAACAATGAAGCCAAAACAAAAAAATTCGAATACGCAACGAAAGGGAGAAATTTGCGAAGCGAGTTCTCTGTTTGCCTAAGATCTACATTCGCAAATTACATGAAAGCGGCTGCTCGATAGCTTAATCCAAATAATCAACCATCTTAGCACAATTAGATGATATATCTGTTACGGCTAAAGCCCAAAATGCAACCAATTCGCAAAATACCCGGCCAATTCTACCACTTTAACTTACTAGCTCGAAACATTGCAATGTTAACACGTGAGGAGAATAGTTATATAAATAACGTATATCAAAAGAAAACATAAAAATAAGTGTTTATATCATAAAACACGTTCTCTTCCAATAAACATATATGATTTTCATATCGAAATAAAAAAAGTATTTAATATTTTTCGGGCTTTAATCGTAACATATCTATATAAATTTTCCTTAAGACGTGATCGTTACATGCTAAATTTGCAATTGGCTATATTATTTATTAATCTTCATATCTGTGAAAAGATATATGTTAAACGATTTGTAAAGGTGTATTCCCACCTAGTGGCCAGACATTAATCACAAACAAATTTACAGCACAGATTTACACAGATTGGTAAAGCCAATTGAATCGAGATTACGATAAAGTAAAAGCTTCGAGAGGGACAGAAGGAGAAAGAATGAAATCGAGTGGTAACATTGCACTCACTTGGATTAGGTGGTGGTAAACCCGGTATGAATCCTTGCTGAGCTTGTTGAGCGTTGTTCGAAGAGGCAGGCTGTGCCGAAGGATGATGCTGGATAGTCTGGTTCATCTCACCATCCACGTCCATTGCAGAGCCGACCGCGGCGGCTGCAGCCGCAGCGGCAGTACCGCCGCCGCCGACCGTGTACTCATCCTTGACCAGTCTACCACCAGGTCCTACACCCACTCCGGATTGCAGCGTCAGCCCGGAGAGGTCTGTAAAGAATGGATCTGTGCGGGAAAACCAACCCATTCCATCACACACCGAGACCACAACAATCAATGATCAATGCTCTAACAGACAGTATTCATTAACCCCAGGGGATGCATCGTTTATCTTTATCTTGTTTAACAATTACTGTTAGGAATATACAAAATAATGAGGACTAAAACTTAACTGAACTGGCCTTCTGTAATCGTAATCTAAGTGAAAACAAAAGATAACGGTTTGAGCGATAATAAAGGAACAAGATAAAGATAAAACAAAGTGGATATATGCAGTGATACAAGATACAGATACTGAAACAAAGACTAAATCGTAATGTTGAATGACATGTCATAACATACCTATGCCAGGCGACACTACTCGCTCATAGTGATACGGATTCACACACACCGAGTCGCACTTTAAGTCGAAAGCGAACTGGCAATACTTGACATGCTTCAATTCATTCTTGTGCAGATCCGGCCATCTCCAAATGCGCGCGTAGATTACGTGCGGGAATCCTTTGCGTCCTGCTACTTGCAGCCTGCCATCTAGAGTTCTTTGGATGGTGACACATTTGCTAGGATGTGCACCATTAGTGGTGATCGCAGTGATTAAGCTGTCCAGTTCGTCACGTTTCTCCTATTGATTTACATGTACACATTCATTGTGGAAACACAAAATCAATGTTTGTAGTTACAAATCATGGAAATACATTTGCAATATAATACAATATGATGAAGAGAGTAAATATTTTATGCTATATATGTAGATTTAAATTAGATTTTACAAATATAAAATTAGTAATTATTATTAAAATTAATTAGTAAAGTGCGTAAAAACAGATGTGGAACTTACTTTAAGTTTCTTCACTAAAGACTCAATTGCTCGCTTGCTGAAGCCTTCACTTTCACCACCTTGGCGATGGCACATTAATGAATGCACAATGCTCAAACAAGCATCAGCACTGGTTGGCGCACTAGGAGCAATCCCAGTCATCTCTCTTACTACATTAACAAAATAAATGAGATATGATAAAATATAATAGATGATATATAAATGATAGATATGATAGATATGGTAAAAAATAAGATATGATAAAAAAACAAGATAAATAAGATATAATACAATTGTGTCGTAACCAGAAGAGTCTCTTATTTCTGGAATAGTCCATGTAACAAATATGATACTAGCACTCTTGCTTACATTCTGGATTAGGCTGCATAGGGGGCGAGGGATACAGATGACCTCCCCCGCCCGCCAATCCAACCATCTCTGTGAAAGCCGTGGTGGACACTGTTGTGCTTCTTTCCTTGAGACACTAATTTTATTCTTGGACTTGGCACAGTCCAATTCTTTAGACTTTACCATCTAGCAACAGTGTCTCACCCATGTGTCACAATAGTTGCTTTCCTGCAAATAATTCCAATTATATTCTCTGCACAATATATTCCTTATATTCTTGATCTACATTACAATATCAACAGCAAGTTAGATTCAAGGGAATTGTTTACTTCACTTCAACACAATAAAACAAAGGCATAAGAGTCTGCCTTTGTTTACCCACTACCAGTGGGCATCTTGAGCCCATCATTTCAGTTATGAATAATCGATGTCAACGTATTTACTCTTACACAATAATTATCAGAATGTTTTAAAAATCACTATAGGCCACCGCGGCGGAGCGCCGGGAGCCAGGACACTTACATTCGAGCGGAAGGATGATAGACGCGGCTCAGGCCGAAGACGTGACACGTTTATACAAGTGTACGAGATAAGCGGAGTGTATTTACGAGAGGTAGTTGTGAGGCATCGGCGAAACGTCTCAGACAAAGGGGCGTCTGTCAAAATCCAGTCAGTACGGATGCATCCGGTCCAACTCCTGGAGTGACGTGTGATGACAGTTGCGCGCGGTGAGACGCTCGCGCGCGACGACGTTCGACGTTCGATTCGCGTCGTCGGTCGGATTCACGGCGTGGAGCGTCGCGGCGACGCGGAGTTGCTGGCGACGCGAGAGCCCACCTGATCTCCGTCCTCTTCACTGGCCGTTGATCGACAGGCGCGATGCGCGACGAGCTAGCGTTCTGCAATTGTTCACGACAATTCGCGCCGAGCTTTGCTCCGACGCATAGGTTAGCACATCAATAATACATATCCGCGGGGCGCGGATGATGTCGCCGTTCGCAGTATGGCCAACTTTCGCTATCGAAACGACACTGGCGAAATATATGCTCTTCAGTTGCACCTCCGATCGATTCGCTCCTTGAGGAATGTCCCTGTAAAATAATCAATACGAAACGATAACATTAACATTACATAAAATTTAGTGTGAATATCATTTTAAGTCGATATGAATTAAAATATGATAGTTTATTCACATTAAAATTCAGACTGAACGTAATATAATTTTATCGTTTTGTATCCATTATTTTAAACAGGCCTCCGTTTCAAATAACCTCCTGCACTCAGTTCCACTAATCCATAATTATGATATGATTATTTATCTTCTAATAACATCGTTCAATTGAACATTTCGGATATCGGAACACTCTAGGTATTCTGTGCACTGTAGAGTACATGATTTTTGTCTAGACAACGTTGCGTTAGTATGCGACATCTACTTCCAGATTCGCAATTATCGGCTTACTACGAATGGATGGTGTAGAGATACAAGTTTAGGAAATCGTATTCTTCGCGACTTCGGTTTACTGAAAATGAGTCTCATGTGTACATCGTCCGATTATCGAAGGTACGTATTTTGCAAGTTATTGCAAGTCATGAAATAGTCGTCAAAAGTGCATCACGAAACTGTACCGAACAAAGTATTGTACGTAATTGAGGTTCATATATCTGCTCTTTATGTTGACGATCTATCAAAAGAGAATCTGATACATCATCGGGAGTGCCATAAACGAGCTCTTGACGTACGTCGTAGTTAAATATCATGAAAAGGTTGTCAAAAATGAGTATCTTGCATCAAAATATCCGGAATGACGAATGAAGTTGGCGCGCATCGGTACTTCAAGATCGTAAGATGCGCCGCAGTATGCGCAGTAGTGAGAAGGCGGTTAGCGTCGCTGCGATACGTATCCGAAAAGCTGCTCCGTGTCTCTCGCGAATTTAACTCATTGAAAGTAAATCTCGCGCGCGAATTGCCGTCCCTGACAATTCCGGAGGGGAGTTTCGTCCGCTCGTTGACGAGATATCGTTGAACAGCCGCGCTGACAACGTGAGTATCTTCTCACGAAACAGTCCTGTCGAGAGTGCCGAGTGCAAAGTGTCGTACAGTGGGTGGCAAAACAACATAGACACAATGAAGTCGTGAGCTCATCAAATTGTCATATCGCGTCTAAACCGTTTTGTAACCTATTGTACATAATGACAGTAGGGACTCGTCGATGCTATTAACGGTGAATCTGGTGTGCGAATCGTCACCGGGAGTACCGCAAGTAACTGCTCCGTGTTCATTATAAGATCTCATTATTATTAATATCGTTAGTAACAAGCATCGCGCGCAACAATGCGAGTGCCGGGCGAAGTTGGCGCGCGTCGGTATTTCGAGAATCGCAAGAGGCGCGTGATATGCAGTGGATTGCGACAGATGGCGCCGTCGTCAGTGTGTGTCCGAAAATCCGCTCGAGCCTCTTACGACTGCGTCTCGTCGGGATCGAATCTCGCGCGCGAATTGTCGTCGCCAGGAGTGCTGGAAATAAATCTCTCGCGTACGTCACGACAGAATATCTTTGAATGGTGGATAGTTTGCGGAACAGCACATCGGTACTACCGAGCAAAGTGTCATATATAGTGACGGTTGGCTCATCGATGTCCTTTACATCTTGGGCTCATTAACGGCGAATCATCACAGTGATTGCCGTAAGTAACTGCTGCGATGCTTATCGTAACGAGATATCATCAGTCATGTTCAGCAGAGAAAACTGCTTTGCTACCACTCCGTAGCGAATATTCATGATTGGAGTATTCTTGTAAACCTTTGACAAGCCCGGACAGACGTACCAGAAACGTTCGCTACGGAGCGGTAGTGGAACAGTTTTCTCCGTTGAACGTGACCATTGAAATACCATCAACAGTGAGCATCTCGTGCAACGGCATCGCGAGTGCCGAGCAAAGTTTGCGCGCGTCGTTATTTTGAGAATCGCAAGAGGCGCGTGATATGTACAGTAAACTGCGACAGATGGCGCCGTCGCCAGTACGTGTCCGAAAATCCTCTCGGGTCTCTCGCGGCTTCGTCTCGTCAAGATCGAATCCCGCGCGCGAATTGTCGTCGCCGGGAGTGTCGGAAATAAGTCTGTGTACGTTACGACGGAATATCGTTGAATGGTGGACATTTCGCGAAACGGTCCATCGAAATCACCAAGTAAAGTGCCGAGCAAAGTGCCGCGCTTCCACTGCGTTATAACGGTAAGAAGTTTCAAGTCGTTGTCGTTCGCGTTTATGACTCGTCGAGAGTTTCGCGACTGAAGTACCGTCGGGAGCGCCGAGATTGAGTCTCGCGCGGTGAATTATCGTTGCCGAGAGTGCCGAAAGTAAATTTCGCGCATTGTAACGGAATATCGTGAAATAGCGGAACTGTCCATTGAGAGGGCTGAACAAAGTGCCGCGTATTTATCGTGTCCTAACGCTCTGAAATTCGTATCGTCGCCATTTCCGTTTACGACTCGCCGAGAATTTCGAGCGTAAAATATTACCGGGAGTGCCGAAAATGAGTCTCGCGCGTGTCTCGTAACGAGACCTTTACACGGCTGCGGAACATGCCATCCGGTCATCATTAGGAATACGTCGTGCGAGGAGTATGGAAAATTGGGAGTCCAGGTTGCTGCGCTGTATACCGACGACTCGCCGTAAAAAATCTCTGTAAGTAACCAATTTACGTTAACGTGTGATATTTTCATGTATCACGTATTTTATAATATTCGTAATAAAATTATACTTATGTGACGCTATTTCACTATATAATTTATTATTCAAGGTTTTATCTATTTGCAAAAAATATTAAAAATTATGTCATTGTCCAATGTCTTTCTGTTTCGTCGTGCATCTTTCAAGAGGGGGTGTAACTCAGTGGTAGAGTGTCTGCTTCGCATGCTGAAAGTCCTGGGTTCAAATCCCAGCTCCTCCACACGTTTATTTTTTTTTCTTCGTTTTCTCTCCTCTCTCTCTTATTTATCTACTTAATGTTATATAATCTGTGTAATATTACAAGTCTTATTTTTATTGCAAAACATTTTTAATTATACTTAATGTAAATACGCCTTTATCTTTCTTAGCATAGACATGCTTGGAACGAACACATGAAATCCAGATATTTAAAACTTACGATTGCTCGTAAATTTAGAAGATGATAACATTATTCCTTACTAATATTTGACGATTTGTCAGTTGACAAAAATTGACTTGACCTAACGTTGTGTTTACTGAGACGATCTTCAAGTAATGTAAATTTGACGTAACTGCAACACTTTTGGTGAATCCTCCTTTTCCAAGAAACGCAATATATTGTTCAGTACTGTGAAATAAAAAATCAATTTAGACTGAAATTGAATAGATTGAGTTTTAATTATCTTTAAAGATATATTATTTTGCGCTTCATCTCATTAAAACAGCAATTGCTGATATATTTGTTGTACGCGATCATTACCTTTTTTATCTTTGGAATCCATAAACATGCGAACGATGGAAAATCGACTCAGTTGGCTTAATGAATACAGTAGATCCGCAAGCAAATCTGTGTCGTTCGGTGTGCAGAATTGTTGTTCCAAGCAACGCAGAATGAGACTAAGCATTGCTCCATCCAATTTATTACCTATAACTGTGGTTTTAGATTATAAAATATTATTTCTCGCCAAACCAAATCACCACTGAATAATTACTTTTATAGTATTTTAAATCGAAAAGACTATCCAATCGGTAATAAATTAAAATAGTCAATCTTCATAAGACACAATTCATAAGACACGGTAAAAAAATTCTTTAAATTATATTTAGCTGTAGTTATGCAAGAATGATCCCATATAGAATACGCTTCGAAAAAAATGAAGATAAAAATTTGATATATAATTTTAAAAAATATAGATAGCATTGAGATTCTTTCTCTCTCTCTCTCTCTCTCTGCAATCGTTTAAGAAGTTAAGTGTGGTAAATTTTCTTCTCTTCAAGAATATTTATTGAAAAGTTTAACTCTTAAAAAAATGACGCAACTAGTAGAAAATAAAGACTATTTTTTAATTAATTTTAGGCATTCATAAGGGTCTCTTTTGTTTTATGTAGAAAAACGTATGGACTACCTGTTGATAAAAAAAACTAAAAAATCTAATTTTGTGGGTTACATTTGATCTATTCTTTTCAGATGCACTGCTGAACTGGTGCGATAAGTTAAAGTGAGATAAATATATGTTTTCTCACTTTAACTTATTGCACCAGTTCAGCAGTGCAGCTGAAAAGAACAGACCAATTATTTTTGTATAACTACAAACATTTAAAAATACCTAAAAGTTAACATATCATTCATCGTTATATTTCGCAGTACTCACACTTATTCACGTCCTCGTGTGCTATAGATCGCAAAAGCTTCGCGTGTAACATCAAATTAGCGTCGTCCTTCAAGGATTGCCACAAACGTAGGAATTCGTAAGGCGATTCGACGTTCTCCAGTTTCTGAAAATATATCTTCACGTGATGTATATTCCTATTTCATACTTTTCTTTTTATTGCGCAGAAACACTCCGAGATCTTAAGTCATACCTGAACGTTCATCTCAAATTTATCACTTTCCTTCCGACTCTCGTTGGTCATCTGAGACTTACTGCGCGTTAAATTATCTTTAGCCTTGCTTTCTTTCACAGGCGGAATTGATTCTTTATTTTTATCTGCGCGCAATTCCCTTGTTGGCGAATCTTTCTCTTCTCGTGGGCCTTCAGTTACTCTCTTCGTCTCCACCGTCGCTTTGTCGGTATCGCGACGTTTTCTCGGTTTGTCGCATGTTCCGTCGCTCGGAAGCTCCTCAATGATGACCGACGATTTCCCCTTTCGGGGCGACGACAGGCACGAAAAAATGGACTTCTGCAGGCTGTCTCTTACGGCACGCGGTCTGGGCAGCGAATCGCGACGAATCGTGAAAACGTCGTCGCCCTTGTCCCCGGCGTCTCGCGTTTTCGACGTTTTATCCGCGCGGTCAGGATCCTTCGCAACAGGTGATAATTTATCGCCGCTCGCGCGCGTTGCCATCGCGTTGCTTTTATTCGCCGCGGCGCTTGCTGCTTTGCTGCTCTCGCTGCTTTCCACGCAGTAACTCGCCTTTATGTGCGGCTTCGTCGCGACATTTCGCGACGAGCCCGGCGCTCGGTCGCAGTAACATATATTGCTGTTAACACGCTGTTTCGGCCGCGCGGCGCTCTTCGTTTCCACAGTTTCCTTCGATTTTATCGGCTCGGCCTTGTCCTCGCCGTCGCTGATGTTCTCTTCCTCTATCTTCATTCTATAACGCGGCCGAATATCAATGACGACAAAGTGAATTTCGTGTACATCTCTGCCGGGCGATTATCGCTATGCGAAAAGTTAGAAAGATACTCGAATAAAGACCCCACCTTGTTTTCCTCGATTCACTCGGCTTCCTCAGCTTGTTCACGCCTGATATCGCAGTTTTATTACTCGGCTCCAGTATCAGAGCAGCCTCGTAATCGGCCAGAGCCTGTGTATGAGAATTACGTTTGCTCACATTAGTAATTATCGTGGAATTAATCAAGTTGATTATATGAAATTATGAAATGTGATTTACGAGGAATATATAATTATCGTACCTGTTGCGGCTTCTCGAGATATTCCAGGGATAATGCTCGGCGAAGAAGCGCTTTGACATTTGTGTAATCCATGCTAATTACCATGTTGCAGTCGTTGAGCGCGTCCTCATAACGCTGCAGCTTTATATCTGTGAATGCAACACGTATAAACTCGATTTTGTTGCGATGTATAATTACGAATAATATTTCGACAAAGATCTGAATTGGAGCTACAAAGTGTTATACTTGTTATACTTTTCACAATATAAATCTTGAAACAATCTTCGAGACAAAGAAATTTTGGTTCTTTACAATGAGCAATTTTATCTCAAATATCTTTTACTATCTAAATTTAGAATTTAGAAAATATATCATTACACTTTTAGAAACAAAATTCTAAAAAAAATTTTCGAAAATTTATTTGGTTTTAAAAATCTCGCATAATCTCGCTCGATCTCGTAAATATCTATTGACAGAACGGATCTACTTGCATGTCATAGCGCGATTGTTGTAAGCCATTACATTCGAGTCCATCTCGATGCTAACGTTGTAATGTCGAAGTGCCTCTTCATAATCGGTCACTCTGAAGGCTTCGTTTCCCTTTTCCCTCTCTTGCATCGCCATCACGTCCAATTCCGTGCCGGTTAACGAACCTAGAGATAGAAAAAATATTAGCAGATTTAGTGTGAGATTTAATTCTACTAAAATTAGTGGCGTATTTGTATCCAGTAAGTTAGGGCGCACGTGGTATGCCAGAAATCCCACATCGTTGAAGAGGGTGTAGACGAAATAAAGTGCTAGGATTTATATCTGGGACAACGCGCTGGATCATGAATCTACTCGGTAGCTCTTCGTTTTCTCAACCGTCGTCGTTAAGCTCGAAAAAGTTACTTCGCGGACTTACGTTTATCGACTGCCATTTTATGCGCCGTCTTGCTCGTTTTGTCCAGCTCCTTACGCCGTTCCTGGATTCTCTTCATTTCGGCCTGTCGCTGCTCGTCCTGCAAGTCTATCCTGTTTATTTCCGTGTCGGCGTCGTATTTATCCCAAGCCGCGTAATCGCACGAGGATATACGTTCGGGCTTAACGCGCTTCTTCTCGTTGATCCCCGTCTTTTTGTCCGTGAAACGCGAATTACGAATAAGCTTATATCATTTTGCTTGCAACCTTTTGTGTAAATAACGGTTAAATTTATACCTCAGCTGCTTGATTCAACTTTGTACACCGAGAAAGAGAAAATATTTAAAAAATAAGATATTTATTCGGAGTAGGTGTTAATAGTATATTCACGTGAATAATTTTGCTTAAATAAAATCAATAATTGTTTTCATGAGGAGCAACGGTGTTTTAGAAAAATATATATTTTCTCATTTGAAAAATCTTTTTTCTCAATGCCAAAATATGTATACATATTAGTACAATATTGTAATATATTGTAATAAATATGTTATCAGTACCCACCGAATAAATATTTTTTACTTTGTAGATAATTTTTTTTCTCTCTCTCTCAGTGTAGTAATCCATAAATGCTTATTTATTTAGTTTAAATTGGCTTAAATTTTAAAAATTTATTTATTAGAACATTATTTAATTCATTTCTACGGAAACACGTGATGTGTCGCAACAATAAAATACGAATGTCTGCACTTTTAGTAGAGTAAATGTATCAGCGTCTCGATGAGATATGTGTGTGTACTTTGTCGATTAATCTGACATACCTTCGTGTTCGGCTTAGCCTTCCGAATGTCCGGCTGCGAAGAAAAGTCATCGACGAGGATGGCTTTTTCCTCGTCCATGTTCTTTTCGCGAGATCGCATCTCGCACGTCCAATTGTCGATCTCGTTGTCGATTTCCCGTAATTTGTTGAGGCTCAGCATGTTTCGCCTCAAAACTGGCTCCGCCTTCCTCAAAATAGCGCTTGTCGGCTTGATCCTGGCGAGACGCTCCTCCGCGTGCTTCGTCAAATCTGGATATACTCCTTCTTCGCCAGAACTGGTATTAAACCGCAGGTGGAAGAAGTTTATGACGAATCGTTAATAAACGTGCCGGAAAATAACGGGTTTAATGGCGCTTTTAAGCAGCAAGGTTGCAAATCTCGTTGACGATCTCAGCGCGGGGATTTAAAAATTATCCATGTAGGCGCTGTAATTATCATAATGTACCGCGCGTATGCGCCTCGGCGGGGATATAACGCCAAATAGGAAACGTCAGGGATGGAATTAATAATGATTCGCGCGAGTTTTTGAGGAGGCAACCTTGTAAATACGCTTGAGCGGACGCTAAGGAGACTTCCAACGTTGGCGAGCGAGATAAAATAGTAATGCCTAATTAGCGTTAGCGCGGACGCGTCAAGTTCTTCGTCCCTCCCTCCCTCGCCCAAGTTTCCGAAGCTTTTTCAAAGAACTCACCGCAGGACGAGGACGATTCGCTCCAACGTCCTCGCGTCGGAGCACTCCGAGATGAATTCGTATGAGAGATTGTTGACCGGTATGTTGTACCTTTCGAGCAGAGTTTTTTTCTCGGGTTTCGCTGCGCTAATTAGATCCACCTCCTCGTTGCCCATAATGACGAGAGCGGAGAGCGCGGATTGTGACGTCGCTAAAGGCACGCGGTTCACGTCCCGTCGGGTCGGTCCCTGCGTTCGGCGGAGACAACAGTTGAACGGCAGTTGAGTAGCAATCGAACCGGATTTGTTGGATCTGCCGGCACATGCCAATCACGTTCAATTACTGCTCAACGGTTGTCTCTGCGCTTGACGGGCTCTTTAATTCCAAGTTGCCAAGGGATACGCGAGCTGTTGATTCTCCACGCGACTCGCGCACGGGCTCTCTTTCCTCCGCAGCGATCGATAACGCTTGAAATAGAAACTTATCGTTCGTTAATTCTCCATACGAAGTAGCCCCGAATGGTAAATTATTCAGGCATGCCGAATGGTAAATCCTTAACGAGAGGAATCGAATTTGGATTTTCCATTTCTAGATATTTCATATCGCAAAATTAAAGAATTACTCGTTTGAACTTCCACGGTGGACTGCGAATAATTTGCAATTGGTGTAAGGTAATTTGCAAATTTGAAAAAAAAATACATATAAACTTGCAGCATAATATATATACCTACATATTCTGTGTTAAAAGTTTAAATATTCTATTTAAAGAAAAGACAGGTACGTGTCCGGGAATTGGCACTTTTACACTGTAAAAACTGGTAGATTAAATTTAACATTTCATGTGTCCTAAATTATCCACTCTCATTTATGTGTAAATTTAACACAAAACATATGTGGTAAAAAGTAACACGCATAATATGTAAAAAATTAACACTTGAATATCGTCAGGAATCACAGTTTGTGTTAAATTGACATATGTATAATGTTAAATTAATTAAAATAAAACGTTACTTTAACATTAACATTTGAGAGAAGTATTAATCTATGATTTTGATGAAATGAAAATGTTAAATTGACACAATCTATGTCTAACATATTAAATATGTCAATTTAACACAACCTGTGATCCCTAACGATATTCAAGTGTTAAATTCTTGTGTTAATTTTTTCCATATTATGTATGTTACTTTTTAACACATTTGTTTTGTGTTAAATTTACACATAAACGAGAGTAGATGATTTGGGACACATGAAATGTGTTAAATTTAACATATCAGTTTTTACAGTGTACCTTAAATTAATTTTTTTTGTTTTCAATAACTCTGTGCATCTCTACATTTTTTAAATCTTATGACACGCGTAATGAGACAAAAATTACTAAAAGGGGAAAAGAAGACTAAAAAAAGTCACTCGGCCAAACTTTTGGAGAAAAGTCGAACCGCGACGAGACTGACTCATCTCTGACGAAATCAATTCTTCGTCTTCGATCACGCTGCATTCTCGCGCTTCAAAAAATCCTCAAAATCCTATACCGACATACATAGATCTACGTAAATCTAGTATCCAGTAAATTACTCAAAATCTCGAAAGAGAAAACCGAGATAATCGTAGCTTTATTCCAAGCTCACCGACAATAAGCACTCAGCATCCACTCCGTTTCTCTTCGGAAGACGAATTCACGTCCGCACCTTCGCGACACGGTACGTACGCGTTCGCGAGAGTAGTTCGCGAGAGGTAGTAGTATCTACCTTTTCCGTCGAGCTACCTCCTCCTTCTCCTCCTCCTCCTCCTGGTCGACCGTCGCGGACACGCGCTCCGTGCAGCAGGCGCTCCTCGCGCTCGGCTTACCGCGCGCGCTTACCTGTTAACACGGCAGTCGGCTTGTAGCCCTGCGACGCGCCAGTACGCGGACGGAGAAGGCGTGCGTGCAAGTCTCGCGGTCGTGCCGTGCCGGGGTTCCCGGTGAGCGCAGCCAAGTGCATATTAGACGAGGCGGCCGCGTACGCCGCGCATTCGCCGGCGAGCGCTCACCGAGAGTGGAGAGCGCGCGCGTGCCGCGACGGCGTTTCGCTCCCAAGCGCACTCCGCGCACTCGTGGTGACTGCTCTGCTCTCCGTTCGCGCGCTGCCGAAAGCGCGCGACCGCGACCTGGACGCGGATTCTCTCCCGGCTGCCGCGGAAAGCCGCGCGCATTCTTCTCCGAAAAGCGCCGGGCCTCGGGTCGCGTCTTCCGTGCTTGGCCGCCGGCCCGTAGCTGCGGCGTAGTCTCGCTCGTATTTGCCGACGTTGAACTGGAAGAGTGTGGGTGTGTGCGCTCCAACTGAGCGATTACGAACAGCGAGCTGCTGGTTTTTTTTATCGATAACACGCGACGTTGGAATTACAATCGGCTAGTGGCGCGCGGAGCAGTAGTGCGCTTTGACGCGTCGTCGAGAGCGTTCGGAGAGCTCTCCTCTCCGCGTTGTGCACCGTCGTGAATTTCTATAACGCGTTTACCGCGGTTCAACGCACCGTGACAACTTTGCGATCGCCGCCGTCCGGCGCGCGAGTCACGGCCGGGATCGCCGAATTATATCGCAGTCGCTCCAGATGCTGTAATATCGCGTGAGAACGCGTGTGTGCTCGTTCAGGTAATTATCATGCTCCGAGAGAGACAGAAAGAGAGAGAGAGAGAGAAAAAGAAAACGGATAAGTTCGCCAAGAGACCTATCTCTCGGCGTGGCTGTCCGCCAGCGAGAGATTAAATTAAAGAGCATCGATTGATCCTCGCAGGCACTTTTCTCGAGGCAAAAGTTAATTTCCTTATTGAGAGAAAGAGAGAAGGAGAGGGGGAGAGAGAGAAGCGCGCTGGAATTTAATTAATCCACGCCACGCCGAGAGACGCGCTGATCCACTGAGGTGTCTTGGTGAACGTTCGACACGTAGAAATGTATTATTTAATCCGCGGGTTGTCGGCCTTCCTCGACGTACGGCTACTATGCAATAGTCGCTCGCTTAATTATCGGAACTTATTAATTTATGCGAAAACTCGACACAGATACTCGCACGCGCACATGACTCGGGCTTGGTGAGTGTGCTTGTGTGAGTGAATGCGTGTGAATTTCGACACGGGATAATGCAAGCCGATTCACCTGACGTCGATTAACTCCCGTCGCGATTCAATCGCTACTCCGCCGTTCTTTTCCCTTCGGATCGTAGTGGAAAACGTCCAGTAATCGGCACTCATTATAGCACTCATCAGTTTTCGGCACTCTCGCTCGGATTTTATCAAGTGTTCAGGTGTATGGGGATTTTTATATTAGTTACTTATTAATTACTTGTTATTTATTTATAGTGTTTTCTCTTAAATTCTCATGTAGCCTTTAATATCCGGTAATATTGACGCAAGAGTGCCGAAGGCAGGCACTACTGGACGTCTTGCCTTGGTACTTACGTATCAACGCTGACGGACAATTTAATCGATTACGATTATTGCCGATCGACGTTGATGGGTGTTATGTTGATGGGTAATATCAGTGCGCATCGCATGCGTGTGATGGTCGTGTCCGCGTTGTAGAGAGTCCGGTGAACGATTGCGGGCCGAGTTGTGTCGTAGAAGTCGGATACGCACATCTGTCTTCTTTTTTTTTCACGAAGCGTCATCATACTTGGACGTGATGGAGTGTAACACGCTCTCGCACATGTGAGCTTCCATTGTTTATTCGCAGAGTCACTCCGAAATTTTGAGGGAAAAAACGCGCGGTGGCGGTTCGCCGCGATGAATCCATCGTAGGCGGTCATTTTTAAATACACCAACGGTGTGTATCATTTAGTATTTGCACATCGCGGACTGGCTGCATGCGAGGAAACCGATATGCGGTCTCCTGTTACGCTGTTTCGCGAACAAACAACGGTCAATCTTCACTCACGCGCGCGCGAGACTGATGAGCGTCGAAACGACGACACGCGCGAAAATCTCAATGGACGCGGACGAAGAAAAACACGATGGTCGATCGCCCGCAGCGCGACCGCGAACATTACCCGTCAGAATTATCTCGGCAAAGTTCTCCATTCCCATCTTATCGAAAACATCATTTCGCTTGGATTGACGCGACGCGATTTAATTGACGTTATGCAATCCAACGAGGTGCAATCCAACCTTTTTAAGGCAATTTAATCCGATGTGAGCAGCTCAGAGCGACTCGGTCCGTCTTGAGAAGCGAATAGAACGCAACTCCTATGAATGATTCTGCAAAAGCAAACAATAAAACTGCACGATGTGCGGAATATAACAGAACATACTTTTGCAATAAATAATACGTTCATTGTTCACAACAATACGTTCACTCGTGACGCCGACTATTTTTGGGATAGGAAATCGTAGAGTGACCTCGCACTCCTTATTCCTTTAAAAAAGCTGAGAATCGCGATTTTTTCTCACTAGCACACTATCGTATGTTTACTAAATATTTATATCGCTGGCACCTACGTGCTGGAATGCGTTGTTATTGTCTCGGCAAGTCCACCGGGGTGAGTCAAGATCGAAGAAGAGCCCGCCATAATTTCGAGCGCAGTATAATACACGAGGATATGCTCTTAGTAGATTGAAGATACAACAGTAGATACAACATTTAATAACAGTAGCGAAAGAAAAGATAAGAGTTCGTGCAGTTAGACGTTATCAAAAGCTGTTGGAGATAAAGAAAATCTCAAGGCCCAAGCACTCTAACGGTTAATTTAATATATCACTTGGATATGTGCTGTTACATATAATATCTCGCTGTCCTAGAACAATCTCGTTCATCATCGCGAATTCTGGCTGAAGAGTGTGTTTACCGTCGCAAAATTGTATTGCTCACATGTAGGAGAGCTATCTGCGCCTTTCGTAACTGTCATGGAGGAAACAAAGAGTATGTTTACGTGCGAGAGTTGTTCGCAGAGAGTTAATCCGTCGTGACACATCGCAGAGTCGGTTGACCTTAGAACAGTCGGTAGACCCTAAACATTAGAAAGTTATGCAAATCTTAAACATGGATAAAGAGAAGGGCCAAGTTTCGTCTAATTTTGGAGTTCTCGATAATGACAATTTTTTTTGCATACAATTAAAGCTCACGTTGAGCCGATTCCAAATATGTAACTCTTTAATCCGAGCCTCCTACTGTTCTCGAGGGAAACGGTTCAAAAGAGTCCTGATTTCAACAGATGACGCCAAGAAGGATTGACTTAAACTTCAGCGTGATTTCGACCTCTGATAACACCTTCACGTTTACGTTCAAAGTAAGAGACGTCTTTTTGGGACAGATTTTTGTTCACAAAAGAAGGACAATGCTAGCTGATACTTGTCTTTTCACATGGCGTTGTCTCTTGAAATTGGGGCTCTTTTGGGCCATTTCATTTGATCATAACTTCCGGGAAAATGATCCAATCCTTTCTTTTTTTTTTTAATTAATACCGAAAACATCGAGGAATATGAATCTATTGATGTTTCTGTAATTTAATGAAGTTGAAAAAAATTGCAATGGGAAAACAAAATACATGTTTTTAAGTACGTCACGTTTGAAAAGTCGGTCTGGGTTAATTTTACTCATGTTTAGGGTTTAAGGATCAAACTCGCATCGTGTGTCTGTTCATTCGGTGAAAACTTGGCAGCGTCGCTTCCGAATCTTGCGAAAGAGAATCTCCATTCGTGCTTTCTTCCACGGAGTGTTATGACGTAACTTCGCAACGCACAAAAAAAGAAGTTACCGGAGACTTTTACTTCCGAAAAGGTGTTTCACGACAGTCGTTAAGTCGCGGCGTCGAAAAATCTGCATTGAAATAATATCCAATCGAATTGACCGCGGATTTAATCGCCAAAATTGTTTCATGATGGAAAGATAGTTTATACCGATATAATACGAGATATTACGCACGACGATATGGCACCGTGAGAACTTTTAACGGGACTTTATCTTTCGTCGCGAATTTCTTATCTGGATCGCGACTTATTTAATTCGCGTACAACGTGACCGCTTTGTTGTCCAACATCGCGACGAGTCTCGCGATAAGACCTCATTACGAGAATCCCGCGTGAATAACATCGTCATGGTGCGTGCCCCGAGGAAAGATAATGAGGTTTAATCCGCGATACCAAACGCGTTATCTAATCTATCATTTAAAGAGCACGAGAGGCGAGACCGAAAAGTAAACCACGTCTTCGCGATTGTTGTCGCGCTTCAAGTTGGCAGATTCTTCGCGATCCTCTCGCACATCCTCCTCCCTTGCGCGCACGCGCGCTTATTAATTATTTCACCGTTATATCAATAATGCCGCCGTTATATCTATTACTCCGCCATTATGTTAATCGTTTCTCCATCACTTCAATTATCTCGCCGCTACGTTAATTGCTTTCGATTGCCCGATCACTTTCCCGTTACATTATTCTCGTTTGTCATATCAATTATCGTTTAGATCTTGAATTTTAATGGGATCTAAGTATTTAAATAGTTGTCATTATGCGATCAAAGAACTCTACTGAAGTGCTCTAGTTCCACGCAGCGGAATTCCAATCCCCCCTCCCGAAATGACTTAATCTCCTCGATCATATTATTGAGTGGCTCGCAGGAATGAAATCAAACAACGTAAGAGAGAGAGAGAGAGAGAGAGAGAGA